TGATTTACACAATAATATGCAAATAATAAAAGAAATAAAAATAAAATCTTGTCAGGAATACTTGTAGTGGAATGGAAAAAAAATAAATATATATAGAATAGAATACAAACTTTATCCTGGGACAAGAATAACAATTATGAACAAAAAATAAAATTCATATCTGGAAAAAAACTACATTAATAAAAATTAAGGAGTATATACAATATCTTTAATGAAAATATATGATCAACAGAAACTAAAAACATTTTGAAAAAAAGAAACATTAATGAAATTAAACAGAAATCAGAGAAACTAAAAACAAAATGTTATAAGCCCTATGAGTTGATTCTTAAGATTTAATAATTGGTAATTTTTAGTAGAGCGGATTGTGTGGAGAAGCCAGGACGAAAACCAGATTGGAGAGGAGATCGAGTAGTTATGAGTCTTCAAGGAATTTGGGATTAAGCTATTCTTTCTAGGGGTTTGGAAAGGTTAGAGAGTATGGATATTGCGCGATAGTCTTTAGGAGAAGTAGGATTAGTGATTTTTTTAATAGGTCTGAGTAATGCTTCTTTCCAAGCGGCCGGAAAAACTAAGTTCTGGAGGGAAAAATTATAGATGAAAAAAAGATAGGAAGACTTTCCGATAGAGCTGGTATGTGTGTTCGTTATTGAGGAAATAAGGTCAGTTGGTGAAATGTAGGAGAAATAGAAATTATCACTGCTGAAGAGGGTGATAAGGAGAATTTGTAGGAGGGTGAGCTGTTGCTGGTGGAGGAAGATATAAAGTAGAAATTGAATTCATCTGGTGAAACCGAGTAGACCGATGAGGTAGAGAATTTCGAAAGAGAAAGTTTACGGAGAATTAACCATATTGATTTAGAATCGGGAGCAGAGGGTTTCGTGAAAGAAGTTTAATTTCGCTTTCCTGATCGTTGTCTGTGTCAAGCTACGGAGTACCCTATAGGCTAGATAATCATCAGCTAGTCGAGTCCGCCTGAAGCATCTATAGCCTGCCTTACGTCTCTTTTGCATGACACGTCCAATGAGCAGGTTGGCTATGAAAGGGAGAGGTTGTAATAGAAGCATGAATGTCAAGGATATGAATACGATTAGAAGTAAGGATGTCTACCATAGGAACAATAAAAGTGCAGGAGTAGATATCGTTCCAACTTAAGGTTTCAAGATCAGCTAGGATTAGATCACGGGTGAAGGCGTCTAGCTTGCGGAAAGTTATGGTTCTAGGAAGAAACATAGGAGTTTGTATATTGTATGATAATTGGATGAGACCATGAGAGCAGGTAATTGAGAACATGACAAGAGCTTCTGTTCTGAATCAATGATATGTAGGTCCAGACAGGTGTCATACATCGAAAGGAACTATAAAAAGGTTGAGGGAGAAGAAGAGGTTTTCTAAGTAGAGTTTGTTGTTGGATTCGGAGAGAAGATTGGTATTAAGATCTCCGGAAATTATTATAGAAAGGAACATGATTGTACATGGTTGATTCGAAGGATTGGTCAAAGGAGGGCGATATACCACCACATAAAGATGAGGATGTGCTTTGCTAGAGATCTTAGTGAAGAGAAATTCAATGTGAGGATGATTGGAAGGGGATGAGATATCTAGGATACGCGGTTTTAGGCTGTTATAGACATAGAGACTAACACCTCCATCAGTCCGGGACTTCCGGTCGTGGCGGATAAAGGTATAATCAGGTAAGGAAACGGAGAAGGAAAGGATATGGGGCTTAAGCGATGTTTTAGAGACTGCAATAATGTTGTAACAATTACGGGTGAAATATTGGAGAAATCCGTCATAGTGTGCAGGAAGGGATTCTGAATTTACATGACAAGTGGTTAAGACGCTAGACATAACGGGAAGAAGAAAAGTATATATAATATCATGTATAGACGCTGGAAGTAAGAGAAAGCAATGAGAATAAATTTGGAAAGAAAAAAATAATTGCTGTAAAAGAAGAAAACAACAAAAAACCATTGATTAAAATAGAGAGATAATAGTAATATAAATAATAATAGATAGGCCACCCAGCACAATACTATATTATATAGTAGAAGATATTTAGAAGTTTATGGCTACGATCTACAGGTTGACGTAAACCTGAAAGTCAGCAGAAAACCTCAAGATCATTTGGTTTTTCGATGTATATCACAGGGTGTCCATCGTCTTTTCTGTACCGCAATCTACCCGCCATACGTATTTTAGTTAACCAGCCGGTCTCTTCTGACATGCAAGTCAGTACGGTCGTCTGTTAGTAGGCTTCATTTCTTGACCCAGATATATCCGGTGTGAATCGTTTTCCTGCCAGCCAATATCTCGAGTTGAAATGTCCCTTTTCACTTTTTTTATTTGCTCCAGCTCGTCCCGTACTGCCTGCCTGACGAAGCGAGCTATAACGGATGGCGATTTAGAATCGTCTTTTTTAGGCCTACGGTGCTCCTCAAAATTGATGTCCTCGACGTTGATGTTAACCCCAATACCAGCCCCCAACCAAGGCAACCAGGGCCGAGGGAGTTTCTCCTGCACGTACCGGGATGTCTCTTATCTCTACTGTTCTACAGAGTAGCCCCTACTCGGCTCTGTTTAATCTAGTCCCCCCACTCTTGATATGAGTGTTCTGTTTTTCGTAGTTAATTCCTGCAGATGTTTAGCTTGGCCTACGAGGTGGCTTTTATTTTTGATACTTGTAATGGCTCCAGTTCTACGAAAAACAAAGGTTTTTTTTTAGACTTTATTTTGGGAAAAATCCTGGAAAAACTAATCTTGAATCGCCTGTACCCAATCCTAGATTCTAATCACATAATCCCAGATCACCAATTTGGATTCCGCTCCTCCCATTCCACTATACAGCAATGCCATCGTGTGATAGACGTAGTATCCTCTGCATTGGAAGCGCGGTATGTACTGTACGGGAGCTTTTCTCGATGTTGAACAGGCGTTTGATAGAGTTTGGCACCCGGGACTGGTGTACAAACTCCGAAAATTCCTACCATCTACCTACTTCCTCATTATCCGTTCCTACCTTACTACTAGATACTTTAAAGTAAATCACAACAATGTCTATACATCCCGTTTTTACCAGTCTGCAGGTGTTTCTCAAGGTAGTATCCTAGGTCCTATACTTTACAAAGTTTATGCAGCTGACATCCCAACCCATCCCAACACTGTCATCACCACATATGCTGATGACACATGTATCCTATCAGTTAATAACGACCCATCTATTGCTTCCCAAACCCTTCAATCCCACATCCCAAACCTTGAAGAATGGTGTCAGAACTGGAGAATTAAAATAAATTCCAATAAATCTCATCAAATTACCTTCACCCTTCGTCGTAAACCAATGACTTCCTGTCCTTCAGTATCCTTTAACAACACCTCACTTATTCCCGTTGAACAAATGCGTTACCTAGGACTCCATCTGGACAAACGTCTAACTTGGAATCCTCATACCAGACTGAAACGACAAGAAACAGCTCGACGTTTCCGACTACTTCAACACTTACTAGACAAACGCTATAACCTTCCAATCAATTATAAAAGACTGATTTACATGACTATAATAAGGCCTATTTGGACTTACGGAGTTGAGCTATGGGGCTCCACCAAACCTTCAAATTCCTCTCGCATACAATCCTTACAATCCAAAATCCTTCGTAAAATCCTCAATGGTCCTTACTTTGTTACAAATAAAATTATCCATAATGACCTTAATGTTCCTTATGTATCAGATTTGACCCAATCCAGATATCTGTCCTTCCATAATAAACTTCATAACCATCTCAACCCTCTTGTCTCTAACCTTGCTTCCTATTCGATTCCTGATAACCCTCCGAGACGTCTGAAAAGAAGATGGCCACGTGATCTTATAATATAGACATATTATTAGAGTGCTACCAATGGGTAGTTTCTCAACATGTGTTCCATGTCTTTATACCAATGTGCGAATTTACCAGATGTATTTTTTGTATACAGTTGTAAATATCATATAAATAAATAATAAAAAAAAAGATTTTATTTCTCACTCCTGGCTGCTCCTTATTATGAGTAACTGTCAGAGCAGATTTTGTTTAGTTGTGTACACAATAACTGGAAATGTTTATATTTTTTACAAATATCGGATGAGTTCTTGGTTATCTGGTAGTTCTCTAGACTCCATTACTTATCCGTCATTCTAAAGAACTTGGAACGGATTTAGAGTAAAGAATGGGGATTCTTCAACCCTTTCTTGCAAAAACGTAACTAGTTGAGGCTGAGGTTCAGGTTCTGAGGTTTTCACTGTGGTCATTGGAGCTGTTTCTCGTAGGCGATGAGTTCTTTGGTTTTCTGGTGAACCACGAGGGGTAGATCCGTCTGACTGAGTCCTCTTAATTGGTACTTTACTGGACATCACTTGGTGATATTACCGCATATCATAAGAAAAGAAAAATATAAGGGGGGAAAATAAATGCGACTGTATAAACAGTAAATATCAACTGCTCTGATGTACACGTAAACTGTATTCAGTGAAAAATCAGAGAGATGAAGCTGAAAAATATGTAAATACTGAGAGACGAGTTGGGAACACAACCTTTCACATCACCTGATCGATCAGATGTTTTATTTGGCTAATAAAAATTATATTACATTATTATTTTTTTAATATATTTTAAGGCTTCAATCACTAGGGTCATTATTGCCTTATTTTTATTGAGAATTAGATTGTATTGTCAAGTTTAGAACATTTCAGAAAAGAAAATAGTTTATCAATTTCATTTGTATTGTCCTGTAAAATGGAGTGTAGATTGGTTGTCAAGTCACAAGAGAGTCTCCCCGATAAGTTATTCCATCATTAATGGCTTTTTTTGCCAGCTCGATCAGCCATAGTATATTATTAAATGTTACATACCACCATCATATCCTTGATTCTTAAATTTGAACATACCGAATATTGCTGGTTTATTTTTTAAGAATGAGAACACCCATAACCAACTCAACGTGTCATTATTTCTGCCATTTTACAGAATGCTGTGGATGTTACTGCTTGGAACAGCCATCACAGCGAGAGCAGAAGATGAGAAGTGGAGATGCCCTGATGTTACCAACGCCTCTTGCTCCTGCGACCTACCGCACACTCTCCGATGCACAGCTTCCTACAAGACCTTTCCAGTCATTGCCGACTGCCTTCGTAAATTAGCTCCACCACTCTCCGTCTCCCTACTTGACTGCACAATTCACGATCTGGAAATCATAGATGGTCCCATGTTAAAGGTAGGTCAGGTTTAATCTTGGAATTCATTAATGAAGTTATTAAACAATGAGAAAAAAACGCTTCGGTTTAAAACATTCAAGGAATGATATTATTAATTACAATTTCAGGGGGTATCATTGCACGGTCTTGTGGTATCATCTGGAGTTTTAAAATCCATTTCAACAGATGCGTTCAAAAAATTGAGCAAGCCACTGGAAGCATTGGGATTGCCGAACAATCAGCTTAAATCTGTGCCAACCCAGGCATTGAAGCATTTGATCTCATTGACGAGGCTAGACCTTTCACATAATATTTTACACTCACTACATGACCACTCCTTCAAGGTTAGTTGTTTACTACTACTATAAATTTTAATATATTGTATTTGTCACATGAGTCGAAACGCTTATTATTTCGAGAAGATATAAAAAACGTATAATTTGTAGAGGTAAAAGTTTTAATTTGACAAATACTTAGACATTTTTAGCTTACAGGTGGTGCTAAGACCCGAATGTATTTAAAATTGTCCTCTTTTCTTTTGTCTTCTTCCCATTTGCCCTTTTTAATTATAAATTGAGGAAAGGAAAATATTTATTTATTTTTTTAATAAAAAAATTGAGCGGTAATTATTCAGGAAATATATATATACTTACTTAAATAAAATGTCTGTCCTGTGAAATATTTTCGCATTGTTTATTTGCACCATGCCCGACAGCAATACTAGTCATAAGGATTAAAAGCGTCTATTGGAGTTCAAAATCAAGTCTTTTGGTCTCACCCTCCAGCTTGCTGCCATTTCGTATGTCTAAGCTGACTGGACGATTATTACAATTTTATAGTTTTAATTTATTAATTATGTATAAATTTAATTTATTTTTTCTTAATTAACCTTTTATTTTTTAGAAGTTTATTTTAATTTATATTCTATTTCAAGTTGGCAATTATTAATTATGGAGTATGTCTTTCATGTTTAATTATAATTTTTGTTAGCTAATCCTCAAAACCAAATCTGTTTTATTTTAACCCTATGTACATTTGGTTTTAGTTATTTATTTTAAATTTATTTAAACACAGCAGAGGAGTTAAAATCGGTCCTAAATGAGGTTAATGGATTCAATTTGGATGTCGTGGCTCCATCCAAGAGGTTCGCTGGCCAGGGGAGGGCTCGATGAGGGAAGGAAAGTACACTATTTGGTACGGAGGAAGCGGGAATCATTGTTTAGGTACCGGGTTTCTAATTAGGAATAGATTTCTATCCGCCTTGAGGGACGTACAATTGTTTAGTGATAGAATTTCGGTAGCAATATTTCAGAGACGTTGGTTCAAAATCGCGTTCATAAACATACATTGTCCGAGTGAAGACAGTGACGATGAAGTCAAATGCGAATTTTACGATAAACTCGAATGGGTTTATGATAAACTACCGCGAAACTCCATGAAAATAATTGTAGGTGACGCAAACGCAAAGGAGGGGGAGGGGGAGAAGTTTATGTCCCGACGATTGGCTAAGAAAGTTTGCACGAATATAGTAGTAATAAGGGGATCCGTCTGATAAACTTTGCCATCTCTAGGACTCCACCCATACAAACGACTCACTTGGAACCCCCATACCAGACTGAAACGACTAGAAACCGCCCGACGTTTTCGACTACTGCAGCACTTACTAGACAAACGTTCTAAACTTCCAACTATTTACAAAAGACTCATAAATATTACAAGAATAAGACATGTTTGGACTTACGGGATAGAGCTTTGGGGCTCTACTAAACCATCAAATTCCTCTCGTATTCAATCCCTACAATCCAAAATCCTTCGTAAAACCCTCGATGCTCCCTACTATGTCACAAATAAAGTCATCTATAACGACCTTAATGTACCATATGTTTCCGATTTGGCTCAACCTCCTTCACCCCTTATTGTGAATTATGTGGAGGCTTCCTGTGGTGCTTTTGGGGAGGGACGATTTTCCATTTTCTTTAATATGCCTGAATATGTAAGCTTCTGATGTTCTACTTTCTCAATCCTCTTTTCCTCATCCTGTTGTTTCGAGGTGGCACTTAGTATCTTCTTTTTCCTCCTTTTTTTCCCCTTAATTTTCGTCTCGCCAAGGTGCATTTTATCATCTTCGGACTCATCAATGGATGGGTTTGGGTCCTGATACTTCACCTTGGGAAGTTCTGGTTGAGGTTCAAGCTTCTCTTGGTGGGTACTTTTCTTTCCGGTTTCATCGTTTACTTTCAGTTTTAGGAATAGAGTGATCCGAATGTTTACTATTGAGGCAGTCGAGAAGGAGTCCTCAGTATTCGTCGGGACTCGCCTCCCTTTTCCAGCGTTACATGGTTCTTCTCCCGTGTTCCCTCCGTGTACTTTTCGCAAGCCCTTAATCGTTAAAGTAAAAATTTACAATTTAGAAATATATGTATAGAAACTATAATGTAAAGGAAAAATTTCTGCTTCGTTGTGAATATCTATACTGGCCACGATGATTGAATCCAGAATGTATACGATTTTTATGGTAAACATAACGATCTCGATTATTATTGTATGCTCAGCGTCCTCGACTTCTGTAGTAGTCATTATCTGTATCTCCTTCGAAGTTTACGGACGAGCCTCCATTGTGTACATCTTCTTTTTTATTACTTCTAAATTTTATTTCTGCATCAAGCAGCCTGCTTTTTACAAAATCTATTGTTAAATTATCATTTGATCCTAAAACATTTATTACAGTTTCATAGTGTTTTGAAATAGTAAGTAACAAATGGCAAACCTTATCATATTCTTCCATTTTTGTATCAGTAGACTTCGATTCAGTTCCAAATCCATTTTTTCTTGTTTTAATTCTTGTAGCTGTCTTCTAATGGGAAGTTTTTCTTTCTAACACTTTTTCTAAATTATTCATCATATCATATGCCGTAGTTGCGTTTTTACATATTTACCTTGCAGCTGCATCATTTAAAAAAAAAATCCTTTTGTTCCTTTTCTGTCAATTTAGTTACATCCGGTTTTATTAATGTATCTTTAATATCTTTTTCTTCTAGTATATTAGCAACTCGTAATTTCCACCAAAATGGAAAAATGTAACCATGTTTTATGGTAAAAAATGTAATAAAAAAATATAATTAAAAATTATGTCTTAATGTATTATTGTTCGTGTAATTATATTTAAAAGGACTTCAAGAATCACTTAAACACCATTTCATATAGCTAGTTAGTATCCTTCTTTCTTTTTTTGCAATGTAATTCGCGTTACATATATGAAAAAAAAGCTTTCGGGCTGAAGCCCTTCCCCCAAAAATTAAATCCTGGATCCGCTAGTGCATGTATACAACATAGGTAGCATAATGCAAGGAAGCACATCACGTAATGGTGTCACGAATTTCCCATATATGATTAACGCTTACTGCTTCGGTCGTCGAGCATACATTTTATGTAATAAAGATGTTTTTATTAGTTCCAATCTTTTTTATTGTATTAACCATCTATCGAATGCTTTTTCCTTATGTATCAACACTTCATTAAATTATATTTTTCCACAGAAGATGCAGCTGTTCTAATTCGGAATCTATACAGCTATTACTTGCTCTACATAGTTTCGTTTTCAAGTTCGCCGATCTTTAACGCTTTTGAGAATGTGATGTGACACCATTGTTCCATAAGCCAAAATATCTCGAATCAAATCAGCGACCCAACTTTTTTTTTTGTAATGATTCTGTGTTTGAAATATTCTCTTCATGAAATCACTTTACTGTTTTCTTGACAGGGCCACCCAAATTTGCGACATGGGCAGCTTTGCTGTTTGTTAACACCATTCATTTCCCTGATGGAAAAGTAATAACCATCCAACTTCAGTATAAATTATCTTCTTATGAAAATATTCTCCATAGAATATAGAACGTCAACCTCTACACACGATTAAGTAAAACATTAGAAAAAATATATAAATTCGTGGATTAATCAAACAGTCTAATACAATACCCATTCATTAATAACAGAATATAATTTGGAACATAGTTTCACTACATGGTTATCCCATGTCAATTCTACTCCGAAAATGACCATTTGGACCCTATCATCTAACATTTTCTTGAAATTTAGTACAGGTATACCATCATAAGCTTGAAAAAAATTAATGAAATTTTTCAGCTTGTTTTTTAGAGCTGTTAACTGCTCACAATTTGTAAACTTTCTGTCAGCAACACAAAGTAATGCAGTTACGAGCTGTCGTGATGATCGCTGTTATAGGTTATGTCAGACGAGCACACGTGATATCTCATAAAAAAAATGGTGCACAGGTCTGGAAACCCCTGCTATAATATAACATTATCAAGTCAATCACAAATTGATAGTTATGAAGCCAAATAAAAATACAATAATTATGTTTCATAGAGATTCCTCCTCTCCTCCCTCTTTCGACAATAATTGTCTTTTTTTTAATATAAATATGTGTTTCAAAAGTCCTCGAAATAATCTGTTACTGTTAATATACTCTTTAACTTATAATAAACGTGTTTATAAACTGAAATTATCTAATTACTTTTAAAGATAATTTAATTAAATAAATATTATATGTTGCAGGGCTTAAAATCATTGGAATATCTTGACCTTAGCGGAAATCACTTAGAAAACGTGAGTTCTTCCACATTCGTCCAACTCCCGAGACTAAAAATATTGCGACTACAGTCTAATGGATTGACAAGCAGCAGTATCACGAAACTGCGTGGGCTTCTTCATTTAGAAAAGTTAGACCTTAGCACTAACGCATTAATGGGCCCCTTAAACTTTTCGTCGTTTCCAAGTCTTCCTAATCTACATGATCTGAATCTCGCCCATAACCAGATAAGCAGTGTTGCGAAAGAAGCTCTAAGCAGTCTGGAATCATTGAAGTCTCTCTCTTTGAAATACAACATGATAGATGTTCTTGAAGACAATGCATTCCGAGGTTTATCTATGCTAACCTCCTTGGACTTAGCCCACAACAGAATGGTCGCTGTTTCTGAAGCTTCCTTGGCCCATTTAACAAAACTGGAATTTTTAGATGTTTCGCACAACTTTTTAAGAGCTTTGACATCAGATCTTATTTCCCCATTAACCGAATTGAAGGAGCTGAGGCTAGATGAAAATGACATATCAATTATTACCAAAGATGCATTAGAATCAGCAATAAAATTGGAAAGATTGACGCTAGCTGGTAATATATTAATTATTATTCTTTAATTAATGACAAAATATTCTTTACAGGATGACAAGATATTCTTTACTGATATACATGACGTGCATAAAATGCATCTTATAATAATTTAACTAAATAGGTACCACATATTTTTCCGTTCAAAACCATTCCAGTCAATCATGTAATATAAATAATCGTAATAGTTTATTTTATTTTATTATTTGTTTTGAACTGTCATCACCACCATCGTCTGATGCCTCTTTACCGTTTAAGCAGTGTGAGATTGTCTTTTATAAAACTTGCATCAGATGGTCCTTATGTGTCGAATTGTGAGTAACAAAGGAAGAAGCTGTAGCTTCATCGGATTTCGAAGCGTCTGAACGAATTCATAGTATTGTAGTGTTTTAATTGGAGGAAATTATTTCTTCGAAAGGTATATATAGGTGTTTTCGGGCAAAAATGTAAGTTATAAATATCAATATTTGTTAGATAGTATATATTATTTACGTAAGTGAAAAGAATTCCGTAAGCCTTACTTTTTTGGATTTACGGTTGCCCTGGTTTTTTATCATTTACCGTAATAAATTCTCCTTCTGGATCGATATCTGATTTATGGTCAGGATCATCGATATCTGGAGCAGCGACGTCAGTTCCTTGAGACGGCCCGACGTCTTCAGAGTTGACGAGTAGAGGGGGCGCTCTGGTGCTGTCTTCTTCATCGACTTGAAGATCTTAGGCGCGGGAACTCGGAGGTAGGAGGGAGAGCGGGGTGGGGTACAAATGGGACGTGGGAGGGAAGAAGGCGGTAGGATGGGGGCAATTAAAGGTGTGGTTTATAAAGGAATTAGTGTCTGTTACTGTTTATTAATATTTTTAGTTATATTTTCTTCAAAGTTAAAAATTGAATCCGTTTGAATACCAATTTCTTTTTTTTTTTTTTAGTCATATTTAATTTTTGTTTCATAATGTCAGCGAAAGTTCTGTTGAAGTGAGTTGGGTTTTGTTGTTTGTACATTTTTTCGGTCCCGTTTAGAAAAAAATTATTTATAATCTGTAATGTTTTGATCCCTTTTTGTATTTTAAAAATAGGGCACCCCTTGGACAAACTTGAGTGTCCATTACCTAAAAGTGCATTTAGTGCTGTCGGTATGTCTTGCCCCTCCACATTTACAAACATTTGCTTTGTTGTTTACACCGGTTTGTAGGGTGACGAAATGATAAGCAGCAAAAACATCGCAAGGGATTAGGAATGTACTGTTGGACTTTAACTGTATGGAATACTATTTTTATTGTGTCCGGTGTTTGAAACGTGATTATATATGAGTTCGTAAGAATTTAATTTTTCCATTCTCTTTTATTTTAATACGAATTATGTCCTTTATTTGTTGTGATAACTCATTTTTATTTCCTTGATGTCAAGGAATCGTAGATCATAACATCGAATTACTCCTCTACAAGAGTATTGTGAGGGGAAACTTGAATTGGATATTGATCACTAAAGTTGTCACATTTTAAAAAATTTTCGGATTGATTTGTATTTTTTGTTTCAATCAGTAATGAGCCAATTTCTTAGTTTTTTATATTTTTAAAATCTGCTACTAAACATGTTAAAAATGTATTAATAAAGAAAGGTGGCACTTTCTGAAAGTCATTTTCATCAGTTCTTTGAGTGATGAAGAACGTTGGACTGATTTGGTTTATAGCCGTATTGTTTCCCGTTTATAATTTAAGACGACCACGTTCACAATATTTATTATAGTGGAAAAAATACATGAAAATATATACATATAAGATTTAAAACAAACAAATAAAAAAAAGAGTATTAAAATGCACTGAAATAAAACCAAACATAAAATATGATATTCAGTGAAAATAAAAACAAATTGTCCATCAAAAACAAAACATAAATAAAAATAAACTTCTATAATAATGATTAAAACCAAGAGAAAAAAAATAACTTGAAGAGAACAAAACCCAATTAATGTTTAAATGTCTTTCGGAAACGGTGGAGAGAAGGGAGAAACACTTTATTTTCATAAAATATAAAATATAAAGGATTGCTGCCCAATTATATTGGGTTGCTATACACACAGCATACTCTTCTATCCTTAGGACAATATATGAACTTATATATAAATATACAGAAGTCTTAGTTAATATTAGTAATATATATATATATATATATATATATATATATATATATATATATATACATTTTTATTTTTTTCCATTTTTTTTTTCCTTTTTCCTTCCTTTCATTGTTTATGCTTTTTTTTTTTTAACATTTAGTTTCCCTTTCTCTCACTTCTCTCTCTTTATCTCTATTGTTTTCAATTATTCATTAAATAAATAAATAAATACATAAATTAAAACTCTCGGGCTAGCCATGCACGTGGTGGTGAATGATTCCCAGGGAGTCGAGGACTATATTTTCAGCCAACCTCGCTACGTCCTTTATGTCGACACCTAGTTCCTCGAGGAAGCTCCTTGTTCTTTTTGGGATAGTTCCGCGAGACCCAAACCAGAGGCCTCTCACGGTGAACTCTCTCTCTCCGAAGGTCTCACGGAATTTATCTTTTAGGAAAGGGATACATTTATCGTACGTGTTCTTCTTTTCCCTTTCCACTTCACCCGCCTGATCGAGGTCATTGCTCTCAAAGGGGACAGTTGGATCCAAGATCAGCGCTGTCCTTCCTGTCTTGGGAAATGCGACGATATCCGCGTATCTCGTAGAGCCTTCACTATCGATGCAATATACCTCGTCAAAGCAGGTGAATTTCCTTTCCCTAAGGAGCCTCATCAACTCGAACTTGACCCGGTGGTGTTGACGTGTTATGAGAAGGGAGTTGTTGGGGCATTTTCCCAGCACATGGGCTGGTGTTTCAGAATCTCTGCCGCATTTACGGCAGAGGGACCCAACTTCTCCGACCTGTCCGCTGACTCCTGGGACTCCACGCAGGGGTGCATAATTAATGTTTTGCTTCTGGGACAATAAAGATAATTGATTTGTTCTTATTTAATTTTTTCGAAGGTAATGGATTTCTTCCTCCTACGCTCTGACTTTATTTTTCATCTCCACACTTTTTTTTTCATATCTTCTAATTCTTTTCCTAATACATCCATTACCTGGTTCATTGTATCCTTAATTCCATTGCTATATTTGTTGTTCTTTTTAATTTCCTCCATAATTCGGATTTCATTTCCAACATTCCACTGTCCAACAAGGACTCCTAGGTATTGACCATATATCCTCAGCCCTAGACAGCAAGCAATATTGTTCGGATGCATTTCTGATATAGTGCTGGCTTTTGACCGGATATGCACGCCGGACTGCTCTTTAAGCTTAAATTCCATCCATCACAGTCCTTATATCTATTACTCCGATTCTACCTCTCTGACCACTCCTTTTAGGTTCGCTGTGGTATGGTGTGAATTATCAGCCTGTTATTCAATTTAAGCGGGAGTTCCGCAGGGCAGTGTCTTGGGTCCTATCCTTTACATTATTTTTACCGCAGATATTCTTGTCCATCCCCATACCCTCCTGGCAACATTTGCTGATGATACAGCTATCCTTTCAACCAACTCGGATCCTAAAACGGCGTCATTAAAACTACAAATGCACCTCTCACTGATTGAACACTGGTGTAAGAAATGGCGCATTAAAATTAACGAATCCAAATGTAAACATCCAAATGTCTCTTAGACAGACCGCAAACGTGGAACCCCCATACTAGACTTAAAAGAACCTTAAGTATCATTCAAATCCTCTTACACAATCCCTATCAAACACCACCCATCTTTAAAATCCTCCATGAATGTTAAAACGGCAGTGGCCATGCGACCTTTTGTAGATTATATATATTTATTTTATTTTATTTATTGTATATACTTTTTTATTATTATTTATTGTTATTTTGCTACTATTAATTTTATATTTTTTGTACATATATTATGAATGTTATCCTACCTCACTATAACTAATATCCAGGTGACCGATTGTTGTAATACTAAAAAATAAAAAAAATTTGTAAAGGTATTTCTAACCCAAGATAATTTATTTTGATTTAATTTTATTTTTTCAGAGAATCCTCTGAACTGCGATTGCAATCTATCTCAGTTTGCTGATTGGTTGCGTAATTCGACACTCAGCAAAAGGGATAAGAACACAGCAATTTGTGCAACACCACCAACTTTAGAAAACGGTTTGGTTGAACAAATTCCTCCTGATAAACTTGTATGTGGGTCACAAGATGACATACCGGTCAGCACTGGTCACCACCCGATGCCAGTTTCTGGTTCCAGAGTGATCTTGCAAGGATACAACTATGATGGAAAGATGATGTATCTATTGTGGAATATTCAGACTGTAGGCTTTTATCAATGTCAGTCTCTTTACGTTTATGAAGAGTTAGGTGCCCATGAGTTACTTTTGGAGCATAACGATTTACATTGTAACTCGACCACGTTAGCAGATCCACACAGTCTTCCAATATCATGGCAAACAAATCATTTACAGAAAGGTAACAGATAATAGTTTTAATTAATTATTTAAAACTTTGAGAATTTTTTATAATAACAATTAACTGATTCCAGGACATAAATATAGATACTGTGTCGTTATGGTTGAGGAAAAGGATACTGAATCTGCACTGATATTGGGCTGTAGTGAAGTGATAACTTTAGTTGAGCACATTGCACCACAAATAACTTCACTAAAGGCGAACCTCACTTCATCACTAACGATGACAATAAAAGCTCAAGTTTGGCCTCATAATGTTCCATGCTCCATTACAGTTCACATCTCTGCTGTTTCGAAATTCTTCAAGCAAGCCAAGCTCAATTGTTCCTCTCTTAAGGTTAATATTCAAGATCTTCCGAGTACAGGGCCTTATAAAATATGTGCTTTGATATCTAATTTAGCTCCTTATTGTATCTGGATTCATCCAAATTACGTCGGAAACATAGATAAGGGAAATCATAATTCATTTTTACTATTCCTCACTATACTTATATTTATATTTATATTATTAGCATATATATTAATCCGTTGGCTCAAAAATATACTTAAACGTTCTAAGATACATGAACAATGTTTCCTTCCAACCCCGCAAGACGAACAACAGCATTCAAGATACGTCAAATTACAAGCAACCACTAAACTGTAAAGTTATAACTGCTGTAAACTTTCCGCTTGTGGTGTTTTACTATCCAACATAAAGTCGACTATATGTGCCAGAGTGAGTGCTCAACGAACTCAGCTAAGAAGTATCATTCTTTGTTTTTTTTAACAACGAAAAATAATACTCAAATTTTAAGTTTTAGGTCATATGTTTATTTTTTAACGTACTAAAAGTCTATGAAATAATATTAAAATGCATAAAATTTGTAAAAAATATTTTTCTCTAAACCCCATCATTAGAATGTCAGAGAATTTATCTTAATTTTCTTAACATAATAGGATTACGAACGAAGTGAAAACTCTCAATGAGTACGACTGTCAATATTTTAAATCTAGGGGGGAAATAAGCAGTTTTTCTTGGATTCATAAGGTTTTTAAACAAACCACTAATGACGCTAGAAGTATTGTTATCTCTAATGAATACTATTTTTTATATTAGACGTGCTAACATGCTAAAAGTTACTAAAATTTGTTATATAAGTATGTTCATCTAAATATGTATGTATATTTATATAAATTTTCAAAATACATATATAGGCATATTAGCAAAAATATCAAACTTTAAATTGTGTTTTGTGTCTTTTAGACCCCTGTAAATATTGTATAGTTTGTATAATTAATAATGTAAACTTTTGTATATAATGTCATTTGTAAATAATGTACAGCATACTATATACTAAATATATTTATTGTCATATAAAATACATACATGATGGTTACTTTCTTACTGTTTTCTTTATACCCTTTCTATCTAGACTCATAGATCATACCTTTCTACTAGAACACTGGTAGTAGATAATTTCTAAAACATTTATGGCTGCTATGAATGATGAGTTTTAAAAAGATACTACTGGAAAAACTATAAATATTTTTTTTAAATTAAACCTAAATGAAATTTGTGGTGGTGTTGGCCAGCAACTAAGGAACTAGAATCTGTTTTAAAACTGGAATACTGTACATGAAAAGTAGACCAAAACCTATTCAAAGTATCAATTAATTTATGATCCCCTGAGAATAACAATCCCACGTAGGCCACTAGTGTTGCTCGAAATGTCTTGGTCTTGGACCGCCAACATAGTTGCAACACCAAAGCAAGACTGGACACTCCAAGACTTTGCAAGATTGCCAGTTAGGTCAAACTGAGACCATTTTGATATACATATATATAATAAACTTTATTCTGGGACGAGGTCCCTTTAGAATAATGAACAAAAAACAAAAACCATATCTGTCCAAAAACTACATTAATACAATTTAAACAATAAATACAACATAACATAACTGAAATGAAAAGAAAAACAGAACATTATAAACATAATGAGTTGATTCTTAGAACTAAAATTTAAATAATCTAAACAACGATTCATTATTTATTATAGTTTACTTTTTAGTTCATACATAGCATAATTTTTAGCCACTTTATCAATTTTTACTTCAATTTGGTACTACCTTCACCATCATAACATTTTATATTGGATGTTGTAATCCAAGAAACATATAAAAGTATTATCATTAAAGTAAGTAGTAACCCATCCACAATATAAGTAATAATATAATACATATGTCAATAAAAAAAAAAGAAACATAAACCAACAAAAGCATAAATTATAGTAATAATGAAAACTGTAGCTCATGTAATAGATAACCTTTAAGAACTGTCATGCTAATGGTGTTCATCGTTTTCTTGGGAGGGTTCATTGTTCTTGCCCTGTATATCCTTGCCTTGGGAAGAACGTCGGTACCATATTCCTCTCCAAGTTATTGTGAGTTTGACTACTTTGATGTCCACTCCTGGCACTCCCAGTGTACACCCGATCGCTATTCTACAATTTAAGTCCTTATATTTATTGGCTTTAATGTTGTTCCAGCCAGTAGCGCTAGCAATCTCCGACGATTTGTGCATCTATAATGTAGCTTCTGCTTGGTCCTGAGAACACCAGGTCTGGCTTCCACATTCGTCTATTACCAATAAACATCTGTTCCTTTGTCAGCCTGTATCCTTTCTTTTGGAGGGCAGTTTCCAACAGGTTCACCACTTTATTATGCCGCCGCACTCTGCCACCGTGAGACGAAATGCAATGTTGTATAATATGGCTGGCAGTTCCACTTAAAAATAAAACCTAAGTGAAATCTGTGGTGGTGTTTGGTCAGCAACTAAGGAACTGGGTTTTAAAACTTCAACACTGTATATCACAATACATGGCAAGTAGGCAAAAATCAATTCAAAGTATTTCTCCAGTGAAGCGCTCGAGATCGGATATAGCCTCTCTAAGGTCCTGTGACGTGGCTACCCTGATCTTCATCCATTCTATCGCATTCGCATGCGCCGCGGCAAAGGTTCCCTGCGGTAACGGAGGGATCTCTGGCACATTCATGGGAGCCGGCTGCCCTAAGTCAAATGCAGGCATCCTCGTAACGGTTCTCCTCTGGTTTAAAAAAAAACGTACCTCTGCACTCTCACCGTCCCGGGTTTCGGCACCAGTTAAACGTCGCTGACTTTAAACACTAAAAAAAAAGAGTAAAGGTTCAACAAATAACACGCATGAAGTCGGAAACAAGGCTGCTTTATTGCTCCTTATAATCCTCTATATACACATTCTGAGTTGTTTACATAAATGCTTTTGGTATTAAAGCTAATACTGTCCCGCTCCGTACCTTAACTCCCCCCCACCAGTTTACGGATACTCTTCGTAAACTTAAAAAAAATAAAAAGACATAAAAACAAAAAATAAAACTCTTATATGTACAACGACAAGGTTCTCTTGTCCACATTATAACACAGGTACGGAGTGTTCACTACTGACAACCTAATCTAATGAAACACAAACAAAAATATTCCTTATATCTAAAAAAAAAATAACACACTTTTCTCTATACATTTTTTTTTCACAAATGAAAGGAACACTATATACAAAACAAACAAAAAAAAATCTTCTTTCCGGAGACGAGGCCACTCCAGTTCTAAGGTTGGTGTGAATCTGTAATCGGAAATTTTAATTGTTCTATGTGTACCGTCCTTCGTTTTTTCGGTTCGTTAACACTCTCAATCGTCACCACATTATGCTCTCTAATGACTATCACCCTGAATGGACCCTCATATCTCCGCACTTCCTTTTCCCTATTCGAGCCTAATTTGCGATACACTATGGACCCGATTTTCAACCCCCCTGTTACTTCCTTCACTTTGAGATTTTCCCGCGCCACCCTTTTTCGCTTTTCCCCCTCTATTTTTTTCTTAACTTTCCCCCAGAGATTACCCAGTTCCATTTTATTACTAACCATTCTTTCTGTCATTTGCTCCTCTGCAGCTGTACCTACCCAGTCCCGTTGCCGCCCGCGTAATCCGAAGAGAATTTCGAATGGAGAGAACCCTGTTGTCGTATGGATAGAATGGTTGTACGCTGCCACCGCCTTCCGCATTGCCACATCCGGTTCCAACCCTTTTTCCACCTGATACACCCTTAGATGGTCACTAAGAGTGCTGTGCAATCTCTCTATACTTCCTCTGCTCTTGGGGTGCCCTGGAGTATTAAGATGCCACCTGACACCTACGTTCTTCATTTCCGTTCTGATTTTGGCGTTGTCGAACTCTCTGCCCCCGTCGGATGTTATGCGATCGGGTACTCCGTAACATTGGAACCACGTCTGGAGGGCTCCTAAGACTGCCTCTGCTGATCGCTCCTGTACCAGGTACGCCATTGCCGCTTTGCTAAAGAGGTCTATGAGCGTGACCCACGTATACCCTCTCCACGTGAACGTATCCACTTGCAAGTCGGTTAGTGGTGCATCGACCGTGGGTGTCTCCTCTTGCATCGTTCTTGGGGGATGCCTATCGTACTTTGTGCTCGCGCACACCCTGCAGGACCCTATGAGCTCTGCGATCGTTTTTTTCATCCCCCACCAAAAATATTTCCGACGCAACGCTTGAACCGTCTCCTGCGCCCCGCGGTGGTTGGTCTTGCTCTGGTGATAAGCAAGTGTTATGTCCTTCTGCTGCTCTTCATCCCGCACTGTATCAACCATCAGTTTGCAACGAATGAACGTCCTATCTATCCCTAATCGTTCATCCCGCCATAGCCTCTTTCTTTATCTTCTCCCAAATCGTTTCATTCCCCACATATAAGTGGTGAATTTTTCTTGCTTTCGACGAGTCTTTGAGAGCTCTGCAGATCTGGTCCACGCTGGCCCCTGGTTGTGACCAAATGGTTGTTATTCGGCTGTTGCCGTACTTGCTATATAGTATCTTCATCAGACCCGACGTCCTGGTCTTCCAGATGATCTGGCGGTTCTTATCGTTTACGATTTCCTCCCGTTCTTCCATGTCCACTGGCCTCTCTTCCGCTGGACTCTCTTCTTGTTGGGTATCAACTCCATCCACATTTTCTTCCACCGCTTGTACCCTCTCTCCCTCTGGCGTCCAGTCCCTCAGGAATCGTCTCACGCCTCCCGATGATTCCGCTGTATCCTCCTCTATGGCATTCATAGTTAGCGCTCTCGATAGCCAATCCGCCACCACATTCTCTCTTCCGGGCTTGTACACAATGTCCATGTTGTACTGGTTAAGAATCTCCTTCCAGCGTGTGACTCTAGCCGAGGATTCCTTTAGTTTGTCTACCCATTGTAGGGGTCTATGGTCCGTCTGCACGCGGAATTTCCTCCCAAAAACATATGGTCTAAAATGGTCGATAGCCCATACGATCGCTAACAGCTCCCTCTCCAGCGCACTGTATCGCGACTCTGCATCCGTAAGTCGCCTGCTGGCATATGCTACTGGGCGATCCCCCCCATTCCCATCCTGGGATAACACAGCCCCCAACGCGTATTCGCTAGCGTCCGTTGTGATCGTAAACACTTTCGTAAAATCCGGAAATGCTAATACTGGCTCCTCTTGCAGCCTCGCCATGCATTTTCGAATGTTATCTTCCATTATGGGGGTTACTATAACCTTGCTGCCTTTCTTTAACAAATTGTTGAGGGATACGAGGTATTCCGCCATTTCGGGCACAAAACGTCGATAATAATTAAGGGTTCCCAGCAATCTACGGATCCATTTTACATCCCGAGGTATTGCCATCTTCTTAATCGCCTCCACTTTCCTCGCGTCAGGTTTGACTCCTTCACTCGATATCGTGTGCCCTAAAAAATTTATGTGGTCCTGCCCTAACAAACATTTCTCGCTTGACAGTTTCAGCCCAAATTGTCTGACTCTCTCAAATACCCTACGTAGATGCTCTACGTGTTCCGCCTCGTTTTTACTAAATACCAACAGGTCGTCCATGTAAACTTGGCACATCCCTTCGTCAATTCCCCTTAGGAACTCGTCCATTAGCCGCTGGAATGTTATAGGAGCATTCTTGAGACCAAACGGAATTCTCGTAAATTCGTAATGCCCCCTCTCGAACGTGAATGCTGTCTTCAACTGATCTTCCGGAAGCATCCTAATCTGATGATATCCCGCTTTCAAGTCAAGAGTACTGAATACCGTTGCCCCGCTTAACCGATCTAAAATGTCCTCAAACTTCGGGATTGGGTATTTTTCATCCACAGTATTCTCATTAAGTTTGCGGTAATCGATTACCACGCGGTATTTTTCCTTATCCTCTCCGGGCGCGCTTTTCTTCTTAACTGCCCATAGCGGGCTATTATATGGCGACGTGCTATCAACAATTATCCCCTGCTCCTTTAGACTCTCCAACTCTTCCCTAATATATTGGCGAAGGGCC